GCTTATTTTTGAGCAGTGTAATTTTAACTCCAAATGTTAGCGGAGGCACAGTAGTATCATGGCTTGAGGAAACCTGAGTTTCTGTCACTCCAGTCTCTGCTAAGTGTAGGATTCAGCGCTATGACTTATTTTTCTGTGTCTTCCCTTTTGGCCTTAGGACCCAGCTGGCAAAGCCAGAGGCTTAAATCCTCAAGTTCCCTTGAGTGTTGGTGACTGATGCTTGGTTGCCATAGAAACCTTCTTAGGGTCTCCAGCCTTCTCTAAGCTGGACCATTTCCTTTCAAGATTCCTAGTTAAGCTATTGGTGATAGACTTCTTGGATTAACAAAACATGATAAACTTTACTCTTCTGGAATCCGGATAAGTAAAATGATGGAAGGGCAGAGAATACAATTTAATGTTTTTCATCCCCAGAATTGACTGTGCTATTGATTTTCTGTCTACCCAACCTATGCATCATTTATCTGTTTTATCTATGACCCACCCCTTTCCACCGCCACCCCTGCCCTGTCCATATCTAGTTTGATCAAGTGTCTCAGTTGCTTTCTCACGAGATTACTGCTTTGAAGAGAATGTTCTTCTCCCTCAGCCATAATGCCATAACTAAATCCACAGTTTGCGATACTGGATGGCCATTAAGCTCCTGAGCTCCTTTTGGTTTGGAGTGTAGAAACACGAGAATACTCAAGGACTGGACATCTAAGTAGTCATGGAGGAGACAGGGATGTTAGACGAAGAGCACTCTCAAGTATGTAACTTTGTGCCACCTCTTTGGGGACAGATATTTCCAGCACTAGTCATGTTAATAGGCACAATAGGTAACATAAGATGCATTATAACACAGTGCCTAACTAAGCAAACCCTAGCAGCAGGCTGCCTTGATGCCTATTCTGGCCATTCACTTCTTAACTTTATGATCTTAGGCAAGTCACCAATTTAATTTGTGCCTCAGTTTTCCCCTGTGAAAATGGGAGTGATAATTTTATTCTCATAACAAGACCTCAAAACTAAGTAATTTATCATTACTATTTATTGAGACTGGAGCTCATTGTGTAGCCTAGGCTGGCCGCAAACTCACAATCTCCCTGTCCCTACCCCTCCTATGTACTGGGATTACAGATATGCTTCACCACTGCAACATGTATGAAGCATGTGTATGGTAGCCATTTCAGTGCTCATCTCACAATCCTCCTGTCTCAACCCCTCCTGTGTGCTGGGATTGCAGGTGTGCTTTGTCACTGCAATATGGGTAACGTATGTGTGTGGTGGCCACTACGGTGCTCAGGCACCAAGCACTGTTTCAAGTCACACACATTCAGCTCAGGCTGAGAAACACAACTTCTGGAGGCTACACTCACATGGGCTGAAGTGTAGAGGGCAGCCCTTGCAGGTGTGCAGGTGGCCCTGACTGGATAGTTGCTCATATTTATGTAGAAGACCAGGTGTGTTGACTTGTGTGACAGTGAGGTTTAGACAGAGCACACAGGCATGCACACAATGTGGGAAGACTGTAGGATTCAGACAGGCAAGGTGATGCCTGCTATGAACCTTTCTTCAGCAAACTTTATCCCCACAATTCTCCAAAGGGTTGTGTTTTAAAAAAAGGGCAAGACAGGGAATGATGAAATTTTAATATTGTTTAAGGGCTTATATTTCTGGGTTTTCATTACTCAAGGGTGTCTCTAAGTCTTCTTTCTTTCTTTTTTAAAAGCATTTCAAACTACATCTTTATTGGATTTATTGTAATCTAAAATATAACATTGATGAAAATGCAAAGCCAAGAGTCCTGATTTTATATATATGTATATGAGATAAGGCAAACCAACAGAAGGAAAAAGCCCCAAGAGAAGGCACAAGAATTAGAGACCACATTCAGGAGTCCCATAAAAACACTAAACTGAAAGCTATGATACACACAGAGGACCTGGTGCAGATCTGTGCAGGCCCTGAGCTTGCTGCTTCAGTCTTTGTGAGTTCATATGAACTTTGCTCAGTTGACTTAGAGGGACTTGTTCTCTTGGTGCCCCATGGCCCCTATAGTTTCCACACTCCTCCTGTCTCCTCTTCCACTGGGTTTCCTGAGCTTAGAGGTCTCCAGACTTCCACTGAATGAGAGAATGAACTGACAAGGCGAAGTAAAGACTGTGTGTCAGATACATGTCGTATATAGTCACAATGGAAGAATCATCCAGCAAAGAGAATGAACAGATTGCAGGTAGATGAAGCAGTACGAATGTGTCATAGACATGAAGTTGGATGAATCACACAGACCAGTGCCCACTGTATGATTATAACTATATAAAACTCCAAGATTTGTGACATTAATTTTTGGTGTCATGAATCAAGATAGTGGGAGGATGGAATCACTGGAAGGGGTCATTGGATTTGGAGACACTGAAAATACTTGGTTTCTTATTTAAAAATTTATTATTTGCTTGTGTGGGGGGGTGGGGAGAGGTATGCATGCTATGGCACATGTATGAAGGTCAGAGGATAATTGTGTGGAGATGGCTCTTTTCTTCCACCTTGACATGGGCTTTGGGGTTTGCCAGACTGGCTAGCACTCACCATTACCCTGAGCCATCTTGCTGGCCCTCCATATATGGATATACTCACCTTGTGGGGATTCGTGTAACTTTACATTTTTGATATTTAGACTTTCTTGTGTATGTGATGTACCCTAATCAACATATTTAAAACGATCAAACATTAAATTTGACAAGCAGAAGGATATCTTAGTAATTCATGATACTTAGAGGAAAGGTGACTGAAAAGATTAGAGATGCAAGATGGACAAGTACTCTCCTTTTTTGGACACTATGGAGGTTTTGCTTAGATCTGATCCTCTGCACATCAGGGAACCATCGATGTTCATTAAAGCCAGAGTTGCTAAAACAAATGTGGATCCTATGTATGTATGTATGTATGTATGTATGTATGTATGTATGTATGTATTAATTCCTGGCTGTAAATGTGATAACTTAAGTATTTATACTGATCTTTTCATAAATATTTTGAGCCTAATTCAAATAGCAACTTGAAAACAAACTGAAATACACAAAGAATGAAGAAAATGGTTCAATGGAACTGTTTCATTGCTCAGAGAAGTGTTGTTGGTTTGGCATTATTAGCTTTGTTGGGATCTAAAGAGAAGAGATAGTTCAAAGTCTAGTTGATTAGGAAAATATATTCTAGAGTAAAAGACAGGTATTTTGAGTGTTTTATGGATAAAACAAAGGAAAGGGGACAGGAATCCGCAGGAAATGGACTGTGGGTTTGGGAGAGATGTTCATTCAGTCTATAATGTAGATCAGTGTGGGATACCAGATGGACAAGGAAGGTCAGTTGCGTTCTGAGGAGAGAAGCTGGGAGAAAGGGATGTGTGAGGTTGTATGAACAGGAGAGCTCACACACCTCTATCGGGCTCTTAGACAGAGCTTTACTAACCCTGGCATTCTGGAAGCTCATGCTGCTGTGCCTGACATCACGTGATGCCCTTGAGCTCTGTCAGCCTCAGCCCTCTGTTCCCAGCTAAGAAGAACATCAAGATGGTTGACCCATATAACAGCTTTTGTAGTAAGAGGTCTGAAAAGCAGCAGTTTAAGAGAAACTGCTCTTCAGTTGAGTCTGTACCCAAAGTGCTATCTTGTTGGGAGGGTCAGAACCACACATGAAAGCTGTAAGAGAGGATGAGGTTGATATAGAACTGAGAAAAACACTAGAAAATTGAATGCATTTTGTAAATTCCCACCTTGCTTACCAGACCCTACAGAATCCTAGGCCACTTCTTGTAAGCCATTTTCACAGGACAGAAATTTGTAACCAGTGAGCACATTTGAAGAGGCCATTTTGGCCAATACACGTTGCATGTATGTATTGAAGTAGCATGTGGTTCCCCCAAAATACATATAATTATTACATGCTAACCAAAAAATTAAAAATGTTTAAAGTGTAAAATGTTAGCTTCTGAGTTGATTATCATGTAATGTACACGTTAATTGGCACAAAGCATTCTACACATTTGAACAATTAACAACTAAAAATGAAATATAACAGAATAATATTTTCTTTTCCCAAAGCATTTCCCAGAAAAGCATACAGAAAATGTATAAAACAGCACCAGAAGAGCAAGTAGCCAGCTTCCTAAGGATATGCTTCTGTAAGCATACCATTGTGTTGACTGTCCTTTCAGGCATGTTTGATAGCAGATATCAGATGGAAATCCCACCTCTTAGGAACAATGCAGCCCATATGTTTTGTTTGTATTGTCATCCTAAAATTAAAAAAATTACACTTCTTGTGTGTGCGAGTGTGAGTGTGTATGTGTATGTGTGTGAGTGTGTGTATATGTGTGAGTGTGTGTATGTGTGTATATGTGTGTATGTGTAGAGTGTGTGAGTGTGTGTATGTGTATGTGTGTATATGTGTGAGTGTGTGTATGTGTGTATGTGTGCATATGTGTGTGAGTGTGTATGAGTGTGTGTGAGTGTATGTGTGTGCATACATATATACATGTGCTCACGTGGCAATCAGAGGACAATGGTAGAAATCAGATTCTCTTCTTCCACTGTGTAGGTCCCAGAGACCATACTTAGTTTCAGACTTGGCAGAAGGCACTTTTGCCAGCTGAGATGTCTAGTCAGCCCTCATCCTGTTTCTTTGGAGAATTATTCTTCCCTCAATAGGTAGTCCGAGAAGGCTCGCTGCATGATTAGGCTTTTAGGTTTCACTCAGGTGAAAAAGGGAAGCTGCTCAGACCCCAGTGATAGCTGCTGATTGCTGAAGAAAAGGCAGTTAGCAAGAATGAGAAGTTGACTCAGAAAATGTATTTAGCAACGCTTTATACGGAGAAGGAAAATCAAAGTAGGCAAGAGCTCCCGGGAGGAGTGCCACTCTTTGTAATGGGCTAGAAATGGGCCATGAGTCAGCTCTGCTTTTGCAGCTCAGTGACCACGAATGTCTCCTTCTCATAGGGTGGAGAATTTCCTCCTGGACTCAGTATGTTCTGCAACACCAGCACGCCAGGTCATTCCACCTTCCTCCTCACCGGCTTTCCAGGCCTGGAAGCCTCCCACCATTGGGTATCCATTCCTATCAACCTCATCTGTGTGGTTTCCATCCTGGGCAACAGCATCATCCTGTTCCTGATCCGCACAGACCCAGCCTTACACGAACCCATGTACATCTTCCTGTCCATGCTAGCGGCCTCTGATCTGGGCCTCTGCGCCTCCACCTTCCCCACCATGGTGCGGCTCTTCTGGCTGGGTATTCGGGAGCTGCCCTTCGATCTCTGTGCAGCACAGATGTTTTTCATCCACGCCTTCACCTATGTGGAATCTGGTGTGCTACTGGCCATGGCCTTTGATCGCTTCATTGCCATCCGGGATCCTCTGCACTATGCCACAATCCTTCCCCACTCGGCAGTGGCCAAAGTCGGGGCTGCCATTTTGTTAAGGGCCATCCTGCTCAACCTCCCCGGACCCATCCTTCTAGGACGCCTGCTCTTTCCCCAGGTCAGTGTCCTCTCCCACTGCTACTGCCTGCACTGTGACCTCGTGGGGCTGGCTTGCTCAGACACTCGGATTAACAGCTCGGTTGGCCTGGTCTCCATCCTCCTCTCACTGGGCCTCGACTCCTCCCTCATCCTGCTGTCCTATGCTCTGATTCTGCGGACTGTGCTGAGCATTGCATCGCCCGGGGAACGGCTCAAGGCGCTCAACACGTGTGTCTCACACCTCTGCATTGTTCTCATCTTCTATTTACCCAAGTTGGGGCTGTCTGTGCTGCACCGAGTGGAGAAACACAGCTACCCAGCTCTGGCAGTGCTCATGGCCAACCTGCACTTCCTGGTGCCGCCCTTCATGAACCCTGTCGTGTATTGCATCAAGTCGAAGCAGATCCGCCAGGGCTTCTTAAAGCGCTTCCAGCAGAAGAGGGTTGACGTATCCTAGGACAGCGGACCCAGTGGTACATGACTTCAGTGGGCCACTATGAATCTTGGGGTGGGTGAGGTGGAGTGAATGGGTTAACTTTTGAGGCCTTCAAATGCCTTAACTGCTGCACACTTTGTGGGGCCTTCCTGGCGTCTATATTATAGACTTCAGCCACTGAGCATATCAGATGCTATCCTGATAATCACTTTCCATGTCCTATTAAACCAGAGTTGACTATCCTAGACTCATACATGCTGCAGCATCGTACCCAGCATGCTAATCTCACTGATAGAATGTTGGTATCAATCTGTTCTAGTTTCATTTCTGTCACTGTGATAAAATACCCAGACGCAAAACAACACAGGGGAGGAAAGGCTTTATTTGGCTTACAGATAGTCTGTTATTGAATGCAAGTCAACACAGGAACTCGAAGCATCATATCTGTAGTCAAGAGCAGAAAGAGAATAAACACGTGGATTCTGGCCTGCTTGTTCTGGGTCATCCCCTTTCTACAGCCCAGATTCCGTGCCAAGGGAATGGTGCCATCCGGAATGGGCTGGGCCATGTTAACTATCAAGACAACGCTCTACACACAAGCCCACAGACCAATATGATCTAGGAAATCCTTCAAGGGAGACTCCCCTCTCAGATAGTTCTAGGTTGTTTCAAATTGCTAGTTAAAACTAGCTGGTACACTGTCTATACAGGCATCTCTCCTTCTTAGATTTCTCTTTGCATTTTGCGCATAAACCTAAGGAAGAACTGATATAAACTGTGTTTATTCGCCTTCCCCCACATTTTCTATTTACTGGCTCCTATGTCAAGAAAAACAAAGGAGAGGGTGATAGAGAAACACAGATGACAACATTGCACTTACTTGCAGCTTAGGGAAATGCAACTATATATATCTTTAAAAAATTCTTTGAGAATTCCACACAATGTATTTTGATCATATTCATCCCTTCCCAAACTCCTCCCAGAGCCCCTCTTCCTTATCTTCTCAACTTTGTATCCTCATTTTTTTAAACCCATCAAGTCTAACTTGAGCTGCTTATGTACTTGTGGGTGTTCAGTCACTCACTAGGATGTACTTGACTTACTAGTGACCACAACCTTAAATAAAATGGACTCCCTTTTTACCAAGAGCTTGTCAATAGCTCCTTTGTGCCCACCTCCCTCCTCCATAGTCGGATCTTATTTGGTTGAAGCCTGCAGATGTCTTGTTCATGCTGTCTCAGCTGCTGTCAGTCTACATATGGAAAACATTGTTTCCTTATAGTCACCCACCTGTTTCCATCAGGTCTTCTGCAGTGATCTCTGAGCCTTGGGCAGAGAGGATGTGATATTAAGGCCAAGTGTTCAGACTGTCTTATTCTCTGCCCCTTGACTAGTTGCGGGTGTTCATACCCATCACTACACTCTTCAGAAAGAAACTTGGCTGATGAAGCTCGAGAGATGATGCACTATCTATGGGTGTAATGATAAGTCATTAGGAGTCACTTTAACACTATGTCTGCTTAGCAGAATAATAGCAGTGAATTCTCCTTTAGAGAACATAACCTGTCTAGCCACAGGTTCTTGGCCCTGGTAACAGTTCCAGGTATGGATTTCATCTTGAGAAGTGAGGTTTCTTTTTTCTTTCTTTCTCTTCTTTCCTTCCTTCCTTCCTTCCTTCCTTCCTTCCTTCCTTCCTTCCTTCCTTCCTTCCTTCCTTTCTTCCTTCCTTCCTTCCTTCATTCCTTCCTCTTTCTTTGTTTCTTTCTTTTTCTTCCTCTCTCTCTCTCTCTCTCTCTCTCTCTCTCTCTCTCTCTTTCTCTCTCTCTTTTTTTCTATTGTGTACTCTTTTCTTTTAGTAAGGAAGTTTGGTATTGTCAAGCTGAAGGACATTACTTATGGGAGGCACTTGTCTCCTAGGTACAAATAGTAATGATAGACTTTCCTTTACTTCCACAGTGGTTGACCAAGAGGCAATGGATTCAGGGCTGTTTGTTCATTGATGCATCTGTAGCACCAAGAATGGTACCTTCTATAGAGGGACTCAGTGCATACAATGGATCCATGTGTATAGGAGATGCAGGGTAAGAAATCAGCAGCTGGTCCTCAGGAGGGCAGAGAACTGGGAGATCTAATTGTCTACAGCATACAAGGGGAACAGGCAGCTAATACATAAACTGGAAGGCAATGAGGTAAGGATAAATGCCATGGACCTTTGAGATATTATTTGGGATACCATACTCGTATACCACAAGAGGGTGGCTTCTTCCAAGACAGCAGCTCGGAGAAGAGCCAAGGACACTGTGGAACCTCTCCCATGACTGCTTCCAAATTTACCGAAGACTGAAGGATTCTCATTCATTTTTGTCATTTCTCTTGATATAAATTATTCAAGTATTTCTTGAATAAATATGGATATTCTTGGTGGAATAAAACATGACAGGCCTGTTAGGTAGGATTTTTACTTTATAGCTATCTAGACAATTGAGAACCTAATGATTATGGTCATTTGCCATTTTCATGAACTGAGAAGAGAGAATGAGGAAGTTGGGAATAGGAAGACAGCTTGGGGAATTGACTCTCCAATAAAGATGTCTGATTGGAAAGCTTATTTGCGCTGCTGTGTCACATTTACTCTGGTCATTGTAGTGTGAATTCCATGTAAGTCAGAAGTCTGGGCATGTTGGTGAGTAAAAAGAGACTTTAGTGAACTCTGTGTCTGAAGGTCACAGACAATGTCCTTAGAGATCAAGAGACAAGGGTGAAAAATCACAAGTTTAGAAGTTTGGGTTGGGAAAGGCATTGCATGCTCAGAATATTTTTTTCCTGTGGGGGCCTGGAAGATAAGAATACTGAAAGAAATATGGAATATGGAGGTCTGGCTTGTAAATTTCCATTTTGACGTACTGTATCTAGTACTATCCAGCCAACAACATCAGTGAATTTGGTTTGGGCTCACCTGTTTCACCTGCTAGCCCAGTAACAAGAAGGTTATGGATCTGGAGGAAATCCATTTCACTGAGGGTTTTACCAGTCTCTGTCAGAAACTAGAGGCTGATCTGATGGCATCCAGGATCATAACCATCACAGGCAGTCAACCAATCAACCAACCAACCAACCAACCTACCAACCAACCAGTTGTTTTAGAGCCCAGAGGCCAGAACATCCCCATTCATAAGATCAAAGGAATAAAGCTTGGAAATCAAACACTTAGTTTAGGATTATTGGGATCCTGGACTCTGTCATGTGACAGCATTGGTGGGCTTGGCAATGTCTCTCTCTCTTTTCTTTTTAATTTTTAAAGTCTTATTTATTTTATATGTATGGATTCTTTTTTTTTTTTTTTTGAGGCTGTTCTGGAACTAGCTCTTGTAGACCAGGCTAGTCTCAAACTCACAGAGATCCGCCTGCCTCTGCCTCCCAAGTGCTGGGATTAAAGGTGTGCACCACCACTGCCCCTGGATTCTTTTTAAAGTATGTTTTTAATTTAAATAAAACTTTATCACTTTCTCCCCTCCCTTTCTTCCCTCCAGCCTCTCTCAGGATTAATGCATGAGTCTTTGCCTGCATATTTGTATGTGCATCATGTGTGTGCCCTGTGCCCATGGAGGTCAGAAGAGAGTACTGGCCTCCTGGAACTGGAGTTTTGGATAGTTGTCAACCCCCATGTGGGTGCTGAGAATTAATCTCAGGTCCTCTGCAGAGTGACCCATGTTCTAAACTACCGAGTCATCTCTCGAGCCCTTTGGTGATGGCTCTCAGTGTTCACTCCTGACAATGTAACATGGCTGTTTTGGGGCTGTTATGACATTACAAGCTGGTAGGGATTTAGGACTCCATATCTCTACAGCTTCATTTTCATTTTCACTATGCAAACATCTCAGTCTGTCCCACAATCCTTTGCTTTGATTTACAAGTCAGCTAACTACAGAGTAGCTGAGCCAGGCACATTGAGGAGTCCTGAGATGGTCTCTGAATTTTTTTGCTATTAGTTTATCCTAGTAGAGATTGTTAGGATAATATACAGTGGCCTTTAGATTTCAGTGTCAATAAAAATGTCCATGCATATGAATGTAATGCTTCTGGTCTTACTCTGTGTTCTAATAAGACTGCATGGGTGTGTAGAAAACCCAAGTTTAAAAGTCTTGTTCTGTTCATATTTCAGTGTGACCTTCAGCTAACTGTATCATCTTTCTGAAGCTCCATTTTCTTAGGTGGGAACACCTTTCTTGCAGAGATGTGGAGATTTAACTGTTTAAAGTACATGATTCAGCATTAGAGGACCCTTTGATGTGGGTTTGGTTATTTGATGTTTTTTCTTTTTACGCTAAACACCATGGAGACAGTTCCTTGACTTATTCGATCCCATTGATTAACATGCCTTAGACTATTGCAAGCCTTTTGTGCATTAAATAAATAAGCAAAAAACTGAATTCCTAGCAAATGCAACTGATTATGTAACTTCTTTTGAATCTATGGAACATTTGATATAATAATTCATATTACACAAGGTAGAATTGATTCAAGTTGTAAGTGCCTTTACACCACAAAGATGGGAAGATGAAATGTGTGATGATATTTTGTTTATGATCTAACAAAGCTTGCCTAAAGATCAAAGTAAAAAGCTAGCCACACTAGTTAGCTGTAGATGCCAGGCAGTGGTGGCACCCATCTTTATGCCCAGCAGCCACACTAGTTAGCCATAGAAGCTGGGTGGTGAATGCATAATTCCAGTTCTAGAGAGAAATATAAGGCAGGTGGAGACAGGAGTGCAGTGTATTCAGTCTTCAGTCACGCTGAGGATAGGATCGCCCCATTTGATCTGAGCCTTGGTAGAGTAAGAACTCTCTAGTGGTTGACTGCTTTGCTTTTCTGATCTTCAGCTTGAACCCCAATATCTGTCTTTGGGTTTTTATTATTTGTGCTACAGAAATGGGCTCTATTTGTTGAATATTAAGAAACACAGGAAAATGTAATAATGATACAACTTAATGCCATGTATCCCCTGGGTCCCATATATCTGAGGCAGTGACCTTGCCTAGCTGTCTGCATACCCAAATCATGTCTAATTTAATTATCCCTTTCCAAAGCTCTAGGAACCCCAAGAGACCTCTCCTAGCTTTGAGACTGAAAGTCTCCTAATTCCCTAGTATTTGAACCATAAACACAATTTCACAACACAGTTAAACTTAAGTAGAATGTTGACCCACACTTTAGGAGTATTTATAAAAATGGCATTTAAACCTGCTAGCATAGGAGGCTTGGGTTGATGCTTCC